ATATATATATTACATTAAATGATATTGTAATAGATATAATTGCAGTATTTATTTCTTTCATTGTTTTAAAATAATTTATTTAAAGTAATTTATTTTTAATAGTGAAGGAAGAATCGCACGATAGTAGAGGTTACCAAAAGAGCCATACATTTTTATCGACCATTAAATCTGCCGTATTATTTACCATACTATTTACTTCTTTTCCCTGGTTATCACTAGATGACGCTAACGTAGAAGTTTGACAGCTACATGAAGATTACATTTCCATGTAAACTCTATTACATTTCTTATGATAACATTGTCAATAAAGTGTCAATAGAGAAAGAAAGTATTCAATATATAGTTGCTATAAAAAAATTTGAAAGCAATATTATTGAAGGAGAAACTTTGAAGGAGAAACAAGAAGAGATCTGTATTCACAAGAAGAGAAAGAGATATCGGGAGAGAAAAAGAAGAGGTAGAAGATTGGAGTTTTTGATTTGCGTCACATTTAAGTGAAACTTTCAAAATTTAATTTTATCTTGATTCTATCAGAGTTTATGCCAATCTGCAGTAATGAGCTCTGATCATACGCACAGACGATGGAGCAATTTGCGAAAAGTGCTGGAGAGATCGGGCCCATTCTGCCGGCCGGATTTCGAGCCATCCTCCGAAAATCTGCAGATGCTCCTGGAACATTGCAAAGTGCTCGTTGTCGGCGCCGGTGGTTTGGGATGTGAGTTACTCAAGAATCTGGCACTGATGGGTTTCAGACATCTCCATGTAATCGACATGGACACGATTGAATTGTCTAACCTCAACCGGTAAGTGAGGTTAAATGCCCGCGAAATATCTATAATATTTGTTTTATGTATGTAAAAGATTTTGTGCGAATATTTTTCAAAATATAGAAAATATTTTTTATATTTTTTAAATATTACAGGCAATTCCTATTTCGTCATAAAGATATAGGATCTTACAAGGCTGAGGTAGCTGCAAAGTTTATCAACGCTAGAGTTCCCGGTTGCAATGTGATTGCACACAATTGTGAGATACAAGCCAAAAGTGAGTCATTCTACCAAGAGTTCCACATGATTATCTGTGGATTGGACTCAATCGTCGCGAGAAGATGGCTCAATGGTATGCTACTGTCCTTACTTGTTTATGAAAATGGCGAATTAGATCAGGCCAGCGTTATACCTTTGATCGATGGTGGAACTGAAGGTTTCAAAGGAAACGCTAGAGTTATATTACCTGGTTTGAGTCCTTGCATCGAATGTACTTTGGATCTTTATCCTCCACAAGTAAGCACATACAATCTCTTTTCTTCGTTTAAAAACTTGATATCGACAGGCTAATTTGTATCATTTATATCATCTGTTAGAAACTTGTTTGTGCCTCACATAGGTCACATATCCTTTATGTACGATAGCCAATACTCCACGTTTGCCTGAGCATTGTATAGAATATGTGAAGGTGATTCAATGGCCAAAGGAAAATCCATTTGATTGTGCCATCGACGGGGATGATCCCCATCATATAAATTGGATTTACGAGAAGTCAAATGAGAGAGCAGTACAATTCGGCATTCAAGGTTTGACATACCGTCTTGTACAGGGTGTTGTCAAAAACATAATACCAGCAGTAGCATCAACAAATGCTGTTATCGCTGCTGTCTGTGCGACGGAAGCATTCAAACTCGCAACCAGCTGTAGTGCGTCTTTAAATAATTACATGGTAAGTACATGCGATAAATCGGTAATGTTATTTGTTGTAAACAGAAACATAAAAACATATATGAGTTCTCACATTAAATACAAAAGATTACAAATTATATTATTGGAAGTAAATTAACTATATTTTAATATAGGTTTGTTTCGATTTCGAAATTTTAATTTTCAATTTACATTCTTCAGCTTTTATGAGCTGATAAAATTAGGATATTTATACATATTTCGATCGTAACATAAAAATAAATTGTATTTATGTCGATAGTGATTTCAATAGACTAACGATAAATATGTAAATAGAAAAAAAATTGTAATTTATTTTTAAGGTGCTCAACAATGTGGACGGAGTGTACACATACACTTACGAGGCAGAAAGAAAGGATGATTGTTTAGCATGTAGTCAAGTACCGCGAGAGATCGAAATCAAAGATTCAAAATGCAAGTTGCAGAATTTGATAGATCTTCTTTGCGAACGGCCAGATCTGCAAATGAAAAGTCCTGCCCTTACGGCTATTGTGGACGGTAAATATAAGACTCTGTACATGCAAATAGTACCGAGTATTGAAGAGAAAACTCGCGAGAATTTGTCCAAGACTTTGATCGAATTAGGTTTAAAAGATGGCATCGAAGTAAATGTTGCCGATGTTACGACTCCAAATACTATTACTTTGAAATTGAGATTTTCACAGGATGATAGTGTGAGTCAGTAATTGTTTCGAGAATTAACTTCTGAAACATCCCTACTTCCAATGTTTCATGTTGTTAAAATTCAATTGTGAAACAAATTGAAACATAAAGTAAATTAAGAATTGCGGGATCGAAATTGATAAATTATCATTGTACGTAATATTATCAGAATTCGTTAATTAATACATATAACATATGTGACATTTTAACGGTTCAATATTAACCGTACAAATATTAACAAGGACATCTTCTTACTACTAAATACTTTACCTAATCTAGAATCGATTTTTTAAATGAAAATATTAAAGCACTAATAATTTTTTAATTAACGATTATGAGATTTTTGTAAATTAAACGAAGGAAAATATTGAGACATAATGTAAAAAATTAGAAAGTTAATAAATGATGATCTTGCTTAATATATTTAAAAAGCAATACTGAGTTACTGAAAAATTTGACATTATAAGAACATCTGATGATTGTGTTCATAGCTTCGAGATATACTATAAAAAGAAGATCCATCTGTAAGTCAATGAAGAAATACATTTAGTATTTAAACAATAAAGATACTACTTAAATACTGTTTTATATTTCTGTACTTACATCCTCTCTCATTCTGATCAGAAATCATATGTCATAATAAAGTTTGTCTCAACAAGAGATAATCTATAAAATCTCATTTGTATAATTATAAGTACAAATTGATGTTTGTTTTTCTACAAAAATGTTTTGTAAATTATACATATTTAGCTGTATTGAGAGAGAAATGGAGTCTAATATAATAATATATGCATGTGTCAAAATTTATACTTGTCAACTTATCGTCAAGCATTTTTATAACTAATTTTTTTTTTTCTTTCATATCACTGAGTTCAATTTTATATTGCATGAATTTTGTGCACAGCCCCTTCGTTTT